GAACATATTAAAACAAAAACAACTTACAAATTTAGATTTAGTAAAATAAAGAATAAAGTCATATTTTAAAAAAGACAATGGATTKTATTCTTGGAATAAATTCTTAAGAGTTGAGCACAGATGGAATGAAAGAAGAAACAAAGATAACACACCTAAAGAGCAGTCTGGTCCAGTCCAGTTCTGGTTGCAGGCACAGGTGCTGGTCTCTGCGTTATAGGTGCCGTGGCCTGAACACTGGTCCGGACACATGGCCTTGGCTATTTCACAGCTCGCTCCCCCCCATCCTGGCTGGCAGTGACACTCCCCGTGGATACACACCCCGTGGGCTGAACAGCTGGGGTCGATGCAGTCCACTGGAAACAAACAGGAAGTCATCATTTAACCAAACATCCTGATAAACATGTCCTGCTGAATGCTTCAGACATGTTTTACTTTAGTTCAGGTTGTTCCTTTGGGGAAGTAAAAACTGCAATCATGTTGTTGTTAAATTTGGTTTCTAAAACCATCATYAAATAAACAAATGTACACATTTATTAAGTTTAGATTTGAACTCAGCTGACCCACATTTGTGATAAACCATGTTCTAACATGTGAGCTTTGCTGGTGGATTACCTATAGTACACAGAAAAAAACACATTTCAAAATATGTCACTGTAAAAATAAAATGTAAAAGTGGAATTAAACAGACCATCAGGATATTGTAAAGAGGGAAGCTGAACACACAAAGTAATAAAACAATCAGTGATACACYGGTTTGATGAAAAGCTTCAGATGTATCCAGAACACAGACAGAAGAGATGAGCAGTGGTTAAAAGTTCCAGCTTTAACCAGCAGCCGAACTGAACAGTGATGAAACTCTGCTAGAGTTCAGAGTCACAACATGACTGCAGCTCAGCAGGGGAGAAGACGAGTTCAGAGGATGAAGATCCYAGGTTTACAAATGTACCTTTTTTATTGTTAGTTTAAGAAAAAAAATGATTAAATGTTTTTTAATCAACAGCTTAACAATATGATGAAGAAAACATGAATGTAACTGATCAGTTAATGAAGGATGCACACATCTATTGTGTTTCCATCCAGTTGTAGAGTGAATTTTTATCGAACTTTTCAAAAATCGCAAAAATTAAATAAATAAAAATTTGAATCTAGACTGTTTCCATCTGGTGTCCCTCTCGACTGTTTGATGCGAATAAACGAGGCTACAAAACGCGTGATTACGTCAGACGAGGCTACGCAAACGCGTGATTAGGTCAGACAAGGCTACGCAACGCGTGAATACGTCAGACGAGGCTACGCAACGCGTGATTACGTCAGACGAGGCTACGCAATGCGTGATTACGTCAGACGAGGCTACGCAACGCGTGATTACGTCAGACGAGGCTTCGCAACGCGTGATTACGTCAGACGAGGCTACGCAACTCGTGATTACGTCAGACGAGGCTACGCAATGCGTGATTACGTCAGACGAGGCTACGCAACGCGTGATTACGTCAGACGAGGCTACGCAACGCGTGATTACGTCAGACGAGGCTACGAAACTCGTGATTA